TTTATGAGACAGGATTTCACTATGTAGTTAAGACTCACCTGGAACTCACTGTGTAGCCCAGGCTGGTCTCAAACTCAGTGATCCTCCTGCCTCAGCCTCCCAAGTGCTGGGATTACAGGTGAGGACTATTCTTCTTTTAGTACTAAATTACATGTATCACTGTTTTTAGATCTAGTCATTCATGCATCTTCACAAGCCATTTGGCCCAGAAATACCTATTCCATCTTATTTACATGGCAAACATTATACATCTTTAAATTTTGACTTAAATTTCAACTTACTTGACAAGTCTGTGCCCATTAGGTAAGGGTTCTATTATCTGTCCACACCAATACCTGTTGCCCATTTGCAAAATGGTTTTAGTCATCGGTGAATTTCTCAGTGCTAGGGATGATACCTTATGTATTCTAAGACCCAAGGTGTAAGCATTTGCTACACATTTTTATAAGGAATAAGTCCAGAAGGAAGTTTACTACTATTTAGGAAATTTAGGAAACCACTCTTATTTCTGGTTCCCCAGACACTGAGACTACGACAGAATTAGATTTTAGAGAAAGTCATGTCTACAATGACCTTTCACATTTCTCACTGACATTATAGAATTGCAAAGCCAAACAGAATCAAAAGAAATCGCCTAGTTCTTTCATATCTTTAAGGACAAAACTTAGGCTCACAGAATCCCTGACTATTTCAAGTTTATGTTACTAATTGACAGTGACTGGATTTGAAACCAAGTTTTCTGTATGTTTATCCACTAGTATTTTTATTGTCTTGGTTTCATCTCTAGCTGCCCTTAGAAGAAAGCCTAGTTTTAGGAAATTTATCTTTGAGCCTATTAAACTAAAATGTCCTTTAAGGGATATAAACCCTGTTCTCTCCTGGATTCTTTACCCTGACTACATATATTAACAGGCAACCCAGGAAAAAAAATAATCACATTAAAAAGGAAATGTAGTAATACAATTAAAACCTATTAATGTGCTTGAATTTTTTCTTAAGAATTACACGTCTAGGAATCAATTATAAGAAAATAAAAATACACACATTCTAAGATTATGAGCACAAAATGCAAGAAAACATCATTATGAATACTTTTGGCAAAAAAACAGGCTGTTTGATATAATTTCTGGCATCTTTAGCTATTAAAATGTATACATAGGATAAAGTATGATTTTTTTGATATGCTCACAACACACTTTGTTTCAACTGCCTACTCCACCTATGTGCAAGCCCAAAACCATCCAATACCAGTACAAAAACAATCTACCTTAACTTGTTAAAAAGCTCTCTGAGGATACAAACACAAAAGTGTCCTTTTTCCCCCTCAGTCACAGAGAATTTTATTTTTCTCTTTGCAAACTCTCTAAAATTAGAAACCAGTTTAGAACTTCAATGATTATCAAACCACTCTACCTAACTCTTGAATAAGGCAAGTTGCAACTGATGGAGCCTAACAAAATTATGTCTTCATGTGATTTGCTCTCCACTCCAGCTTATCTATAATGGATTTTTAGTATTTTAATTATTTTCTATGAATATGACAGTTCTTTCCTCTTCCCTTTTGATTGTTTGTATGTATGTATGTATGTATGTATGTATGTATTTTACTTCCTTGAAACTTGTAAGTTTTTGCCTCAGGAACACATTTATTATTTTTGTATTTTCAAGTTATCTGATAAAGGAACAATCATTTATTTTTCTGTTTCTTCTTAATAAAATCAGATGCTATTTTTTATGACTTATTTTGATAATCTCTGAGAATGGAGTCCCCTTCAGTTGAATGATTTCTAACAGATTTATGATAGAAGTTTATCTATCACTTTCCTTGACATTCAAATTATAACCATACATTTTGGTTTTCAACTGACACTGGCTTTCAGAAATTTTATAGAGCTGTCTTACTCTCAGTTTTGGACTCCTCGTGATATTATTCTGAAAAATTCTGGCTTTAGGAAAGATTCTTAATACATTTAAATATTATTTAGTTGGCCTACAATGCATATCCCCACAGTTTGTAATAACAAAAAATGGAAAAATATTTAAAAACTAGCCTCTAAAACTCATAAAGATAAAACTCCTTACTTTTATGACCCTGGTACATTTCTTGCATCTACAATATATTTCAAATCATGAAGGCAAAATCACTCCAAAACGAAATTGGATCACTATATTACAGTAAGTTGCTTTATGATAAGGTGATTATCTTGTAGGCAAACTACTTCTAAAATAGGAATTACAGAGACCAAGCATTGTAAGCACAATATCTATGTTGGTCATAAAGCTCTGCAAAAAGCAAGTTTTTTTTGAAATTTTTGATTCTGCTCAAAACACAAAATTCTGCCACATTTGAAGACAAATATGAAGAAAGACAGTGGGGCAAATTGAATATTTAATAAAATGATAAATTTAAATTTAATACTATTACATTAATTTTATTTAATATTAATGTTTCAGCAATATAACACATATAAAAATAATTCATTTAAACAATAAACATTCCCAAATTAAATAACAAAGCAAAGCTAAAGTATATGTCCCTTAAAAAAGATTCACTTTATTTATTCATTTATTTTGCTACCGGGGATTGAAGTCCAGCCCTTGCCCTTGCAAAGCAGACGGTGGAACCACTGAGCCAAATCCCCTGCACGAAAAAATTCACTTTAAGTGTAAGGATATAGAAAACTTTAAAGTAGAGTACATACCTTATTGCTTCTATATTAATATCAGACAATTAGTATATTGTCTATGA